CAAGCACCTTAATTCTTTTTCACCATAGTTAAAGTACATTCATCACGATTAAAAAAAAAAAAAAAAAAAAAATTTACAAATAATAAATGCTGGTGAGGGTATGAAGAAAAGGGAAACTTTCTACACTGTTGGCGAGAATGTAAATTAGTGCAGCCACTATGAGAAACAGTCTGGAGGTTCCTTAAAAAACTAAAAACAGGATTACCATATGATCCAAACAATCTTACTCCTGGGCATATACCTGGAAAAGACAAAAACTAATTCAAAAAAATACATGCACCCCATGTTCATAGCAGCACTGTTCACTGTCAAGACATGGAAACAACCTAAATGTCCATCAACAAAAGAATGGATAAAGAAGGCTTTACTCAGATATAAAAAAAGAATAAAATAATGCCATTTGTAGCAACATGGATGGACCTAAAGATATTATACTAAGTGAAGGCAGAAAATGCAAGACAAATATCATATTACTTATATATGGAATCTAAAAAAAAAATGAATACAAATAAACTTATTTACAGAACAGAAACAGACTCCCAGACATAGAAAACAAACTTACAGTTACCAAAGGGGAAAGGGGGGGATAAATTAGGAGCTTGGGATTAACACACATACATCACTATAGATAGATAATGGAGAAGGAAACGGCAACCCACTCCAGTGTTCTTGCCTGGAGAATCCCAGGGACGGCGGAGCCTGGTAGGCTGCCGTCTATGGGTTCGCACAGAGGTGGACATGACTGAAGTGACTTAGCATAGATAGATAAACTATATTTTAGCACAGGGAACTATATTCATTAATATCCTGTAATGACCTATAATGGAAAAGAATCTGAAAAAAGAATATATATGTGTGTGTGTGTCCCAATACCAAAGGCACCTCAGACCAAGCTTCACAATATCACTGCTCCAATGTTTTCAGTGGAAGGTGTGTTAGCAACCTGTGAGGAGGGTTGTGGCAGCTGGACTCTGAGGAGCTCACAGCTCTCCAGATGTCTGGTGTTCTGTGTCCAAAACCAGTGGAGGAACTGATTGGCTTTCAGAGCTCCTTGAGATTTGGAAATGTATCTTGCTGGTTTTGTACAGAGCCTTACATGGGTTAACCCTTCAATAAATACATTTTTCTTGAATGAATGAGTTTTCAAATATCACAGATATTATTTTAGTGATGAGAAGAATTATTTAGGCATAAAAATTATTCTGAAACAGACAACTTCAGCATAATTCACCAGGTATCACTCTAAATGGGCCCCTGGCAATCAAAAGTATGATTTGTTTGGATGAAATGTTTGGTTGAGGGATCAGTGGTGCCTCACTGTACTGGAAGGTTCTGCCTGGAAGGAAACATGCCCAGCAGTGTTCACAGTTTCCTGGAAGTGTTTGGAACTAAGTACCTCAGACTGACTGAAAAAGTTAGATATTCTCTTCTCCTAACACAGGGTAATGTGAATCACTAGATGGTAAAAAACAAACAACAAACAAAAATGTCAGGGAAATCCAATGATGGGAAATGGAGCCAAAAAATCTTGATCTGGATCAAGGATCTCTCCAGGGCCTCCCTGGGAGAGCTGATCCACACGCACCTGTGAGAATGCTGCAGGTGGTGGTCTTGCCCGCTCCGTTGTGGCCTAGGAGAACCGTGATCTGGCCCTGGTATAGATTCATGGTCAGGTCTTTGACTGCCATATGTTCATCCTTTCCCTTGTAGAACACCTGTTGAAAAGCCAAGTTTGATAGCGTAACACACACATACCTGTGGCGTTTATGAAGAACCTATGACAGGCCGAGCACCCACACCAATTTCCCCAGAAAGTTCAACAGTGGAACTCCAAGTGGAAATCTACAAAGGGAGCCCTTTCTTTCAGAGCTTAGCTGCCTGGAGCAACTGAGGACCAGCAAGGCTAGGGGGATTTCTCTGGCCTCTGGAAACTGGTGGGAGAGCAACAGGACCACAGAGGCCAGAGTTCAAGGATGAAGGGCCTGGAGCTGGAATGAGATCATCTCCCTGCTTCTCAAGCGTACCTTGCTCCTTAATGCTGGCCAAGCCCCTGAGAAAGGGTACCTTGCCTCTTCCGTGGGCAGTGTTGTCCTAGGGAGAGAACCCCAGACAGACTGGCCTGTTTTTATTTTTTTCTTATTATACAAGTAATCCATTTATAAGAGCATAAAGAAGAAAATGAAATCACCCACAATGCTGTCTGCAGAGGTAACATCACCTTTCAGCCTAAGACTTAGCCAATTTCAGGGCCAGGTGCGGGGTCTGGAGTGCAGACGCTATAGCTGGGTGAGACCTGGGTGTCACTCCTCCCCACAATTCATCTACTGCATTTTGGAGCAGGATGCTGAGTAAAGAAAGCTGGCAGACTTCCTTGCCCCCAGCACCATTTGGTGTGATTATTATGAATCAAGTGTGACAGGCCTCTTCCCTGACTTCTCAGTCTCCTTTCTGAAGTCGAGGTGGACACTTGGCAGAATTCCAGGCAAGAAGAAGGGGTGATCTACTGAAGGGCAGAAAAGAAGGGAGGGAGGGAGGAAAAATTTTTTCCCAAAAGAAAGCCCCTTGCTCTTATCTTTCCCTGTAGATGAGCTACAACAGCCGTCTTACAACCAGGGAATGACAAGCACACAGCAGGGAGCTACATGCTTCCACTGGTCCAGAGAAAATCAACGAAAGTCAGTGAGTAGAAAGCAAAGTGCTCTGGGATGGCTCTGCTGAGCAGCCGCATCAGGGCAGAACCACGTGCCCGCAGGCTGCCTGTTATGAGAAAAAAAAGGAGAAATCCCCGAGTGCTGAAGCCACAGTAAATCCAGTGGAGCTGGAGCATTCCAAGCGGCTCCCACAGGGTGTGGAGGCGCTGGGATGATCCCCCATGCCATGGATCCCCTGGACTAGGACGTGATCCACCTCATCTCACAGGTCAGGAAGGTGACACAAAGTGCTGAGCCAGTGCCTTGACTCTGACCGTGTATCAGCCACACGGAGGGCACCACCTCTCCACAGGTCCATCATGTCTGAGGAATGGAAGACTCCTCTGGAGGACACAGCAGGTATAGAGCTTACCCCCAGGCATCCAGTCAGGGGAGCCCTTGGTCAACATAGGACTCAGCAGACACTGGAGAGAGGATGAACACTTCCACATTTGGAAGTCAACAGTGACATCTAGTTTACTGCTTGATTTGGTTGCATAAGAACACTGGTGAATCAAAGCTGGCCATCAAATGACTGAGTTCTAGGGCATCCCCAACAAGAGGTGCCTGGCATTTGCAAGACTGTTTCAAGAGAGATCATCTAGACCCTCTACCCAGTCATTTAACTTTATGACAGGAAATAGGACATTTTACGTTATACTTCTAATTTGTGGGATAATGTGACAGAGGGAATTAAAAATCTATCACAAGGCCAATCCTTTGGGGTCAGCCTGCCCTCACTGCCTGTTTAATAAAGTTCTGCTTGTTTGAGATGTAAAAAAAAAAAAAAAAGAAATCTATCACAAAATGTACCTTGTAACTGTCAGAATGAAACAGAAACCTCTATACCCTATTTCTAAAGTTCTCAGAAGATCTGAGAGCTGATACCTTGTATAGATGCTGGATTTCAATTCCTTTTATCAAATTGGTAGGCTCATCCTGAATGAACTTGTTTCTCAGAGCTTGCTGAGGATCCTCTAAGTCTAGTACAGGTTTCCTAAGGGATGTAGGTTCTCCCCACCAGTAGGAGGGCTAGAGAGGAAGTAAACTCATTAATATGTTTAGGTGAACTGGCTTCTTCTCCTGGAAGAAAAATATTTCAGTAAATTAAATTCTCACACTTCGCTCCTCCCATCCCCATCCTCAGCCTCGCCAGCCAGATTTCCTGGTATTGAACCTTTGATGATGCCTGAAGCAGTCAAGAATTTGCTCACAGACTCATTACTAATAAACTGCATTTCAACCTACAACCCATGGCCTGGGGGATGGAGCTACAGAAGATGCCTTACGCGCACACTTCTGGTGCACGGGGGAAGCTATTGGGACGGCCAGCAGCCTCCCTGTGGGCAAAGGCCTGGAGAAATGCTGGTGCTAACAATCCACCCACTTCTCCACAGACCAAGAAGGGCAAGCACGGCGGCCTTTGCCAAGGCCTGGAGTGAGGACCTGTGCAATTCAGATGGGCTCAGACTGAATCTGCAGGAGGGCCGAATCAGGCATAACAAGGTCAACTTTGTAAGGAAAATCCAGTCGTTGTAGGAGAGAAGAGATTCTGAGAACTTCATGGGGTCGTCAATGAAAGCTGTGCCCTCAGGTCACAGAGGTCTCAAAGAGTGCCAGGGCCTTGCCACCAGTCCAAGAGAAAAGAGGCCAAGGAGTCCTGAGGGCTCTAGCTTGTTGGGCTGGTATTCTGTGGGGGAATGTAGGGCCTGCCACTCAAGGGGGCACATGAGACAGCCACCGCACTCTTAAGGGGCCTCTGCACAGGGAATCAGCAGTGGGGCAAGGGTCAGAGAGACTGAGACTTATTAATCATGCTCCTTTGGCAACCATAAGTTGACAGGTTTGAAGTGAATCCAGATTAGAGAACCCCACTTAGATTTCTCAGAGTTTGAAGGTGCAACCAATATCACCAAGAGGGATAGGAACATTGATGACAAGCTATAAAAATCCTGGTGTCAATCTATAAAACAGCAGCATCAGTACTCACCATGAGGAAGAAGTACCAGGGCTTGGGTGTACCATACTCTCCTGGGAAGAGGGCCTCCACATACCAGGCCACTAAGCCGTACAAGACAGAATCTAGCAGCAGCATCAGAAGCACCTGAGTGAAGTTAAACTCTCCTCCTATACTGCCCAAGTTCCTCCACTGGATGCCTGTGCCTGTCACAAGGAAGGACAGTCGCCACATCAGAGACGGAGAAGAGATACCAGAGTTTTCCAATCAAACAGTAGAGACCAGGCCAAAGAGAAGACTGGACTATTCGTCTCCAGAGTATTAAGAGACAAAAACAAGGCACAGGAAAGGAAAAGCTAACTGTTAGTTTCTCTTTTGAGATAAAACCCTTTTTTGTTTTTTTCTTTTGGCCACACTACACAGCTTGCAGGATCTTAGTTGCCCAAGGAGGGATTGAACTATGGCCCAGCAGAGAAAGTGCAGAGTCCTATCCACTAGGCCACCAGGGAATTCCCAATAAACCATTTTTCTTATTTGCCAAAATGGTCCCTTCCTACTCCTCCTGACCTGCTCCACTTGGGTTAATTCTTACTTTGTAGGTCAGCACAGGCATCTCCTTCCCCAACAAGCATACATCCTCTCCCTCTGGGATTACCTGCCTAACCCATGTGCATCCGGGTCCCCTGTGCAAGCTGTGAGCATTGCCAGCTCTGCTCTGCACTGGAAATCTGCTCACCTACTGCCATCCCAGCCTGGGACCAGGGACTGTCAGATTACCTCAGTTTCTACAGTCTCTGACCCAGGGCCTCACATGAAGCAGGTGCTCAGTACACATATGCTCCATGAAGAAAGGAAGGTGCTGAGAAAGGGCCTGGGACAGATTCCTGGGTGTGAATAAAGGCAGGTATCCTTTGTAATGCCAACGGTCTCACCTGAATGCAACTTGACTGTGCTTTTCACGTAAAGCATCCAAGGTACCTGCACCTGCTGCCACACAGCAGGACTGAGAAGGTAGTAACTAACATCACCACAGCAGATAAATCAGGGCTGATGAGCAGACAGATGGGCTAGAATGGTGCTCACTAGTCACCTGGGACGTTGTTCTTTTTTTTTTTTTTTGAGGAACACCCATAGAAAATCTTTATTCAGAGATGATTACCCCATGGATTATTTTCCAGAAATATTTGCATTGACCTTAGAGTAAAGGTTAAAAGTCAACACTTTTCTCCCAAATTTATTCTGTTCTTTAAATTGTCTTACAGTTTGACTGTTTATATACTGAAAAATGGTTAAACTAAGGAACGAAGGAAGCCAAGATTAGAGGAATCTTTCTAGGGCTTAAGAATTCTTCATGCTATTTTCTCCAAAACCTAAAGGGATAAGATGGTGTTCTGATTAATTTCAAATGGAGATGCAAGAAAGCCATGTTCTATCCTCTCTTCTTATTAACACAAACCAATGGTCTGATTATTGTTATTTAGATTAATTGAATGCGTATCCTTTTGTTCCAGCAAATAGAAAAGCAGACAAACCTCTATATGAATGATGTGATGGTACTATCATGGACTAGAAGGAGCTCTTCTTCCTGATTGCCTACTACTGATAAAAGAACTAAAATAGGTTTTCTTAGCTGATGAAGTCCAGTATTCATATAGTGAACACTTGAAATACTTTTATCCAGCAGCTTGGCTGTGCATTTTGTAGTGAACTTATTTTTGGTTGGCTCAACAGGAAGTACTGCTGCTCCAAATTGGTTATTGTCACCAGGGGTCCCAACTGGCTGCCTGCAGCCCCCAAATCACCAGGAGCCAGGCTGCCACACTTGGTATTTCTTTTTTTTTTTTCCATTTATTTTTATTAGTTGGAGGCTAATTACTTTACATCATTACAGTAGTTTTTGTCATACATTGAAATGAATTAGTGGGACGTTGTTCTGATTGTACGTCTGGGCGGGTCTTGGAGTCTGTGTTTCCAACACGTTCTCCCAGGGCTCTGATGCTGCTGGTACGCAGGCCACGCTGAGAGGACCAATATCAGGAGACCTCTGGAGCCCTTCCTGAGATGACATTCCCTGGCTTGTGTCTGCCTTTGTGCCAATCAAGAGCTGTACCTCTCACTGTGGCTTACAGACAGGTGCCGTAAGGTCAGTGCACGCAGTTCACGAAGGACAGGCGCACCCTTGTTCAGTGCACATCCACAGTGTCCCAAGGAAAGGAAGAGTTGAGGCTCCTTCCCCACCTCAGCAGACATTTGATTGCCACTTTATCTATTTATCAGGAATATACATTTCAAGTACATAAAATGGACTTTAACAAGCAATTACAAAGGAATTACTCTTGTGCAGCTACCACCTAAGTCAATCACCCCCAAAACCCCACATATACACACCCCCATTACAACTTCACTGCCATCTTTGTTTGTAGGCAGCATCTAGTTGGGTTCTGCATTTTTATCTAAACAGTCTCTTTTTACTTGGTATTCATATTTACTGTGATTATTGACTGTCTGGATTAAAATCTACCACTTTGCCAGCTGTTTTCTATTCAGTTCAAATTTTTGTTTCTTTTTTCCTCTTTTTCTTGCATTAATAGAATTTTTATGATTCCATTTTAGTTCCACTATGATTATTTGTACCTCTAAATTTTGTTTTTCAGCTTTGTTCTAGGGTGTAAAGGCACTTCCCTGGTGGTTCAGATGTAAAGAAACCACCTGCGATGCAGGAAACCCGGATTCAAGCCCTGAGTTGGGAAGATCCCCTGGAGAAGGGAATAGCTACTCACTCCAGTATTCTTGCTTGTAGAATTCCACGGACAGAGAAGCCTGGAAGGCTACATACCGTCCGTGGGGTCGCAAAGAGACGGACATAACTGAGTGACTAACAACACACAGGGTGTAAGGTCGTCATTAGAGTCTATATTCAATATTATTTGAAGATACTTCATTTCTCCAAAGACATACAGATGGCTAACAAACACATGAAAAGATGCTCAACATCACTCATTATCAGAGAAATGCAAATCAAAACCACAATGAGGTACCA